TGGCCCTGATTTTATTTATTGTTTATTATTTTTGAGCGATTTTATTATTTTTTTTATTTTTTTTTTGTGCTTTTTATGATTTGGCAGACCCTGAACTAGACATTTACACAACCCGATTTTGACAATATTTCCTGATTATGACACTTTTACCCAAATTAGACACCCTTAAACCAAATTGTGACCAAATATTTCTCATCACTAACAAGCTGCAAATAAGTGCAGCTTCTGTGATTTTCGTTTATTTGTACCCTAGTTTATATGGATGTTACTAGATAATATTATTTATTGTGTTATTTTGGTACCTACAATAAACGTATATTTATTTATTTATTTATTAGTACTACTCGACCCATCTTCAGCATCTTCCCTATCTGAAAACGAAGGGTTAAAGTCACTCCACCCGATAGGGTCGGAAAGTTTTACTCTTGAATACAAAGTTGACGTGTCCGAGCGATTTTTTTTTAAAACGACCTTTGAATACCCTAAAACGCCTCTGTTTTGATATTCGTGAAACACCCTTTAGGTATACTTATGTATTTTAATAATATGAATAATTTACCTTATTATTTTTTATTTTCCTCAAAGGCAAATTATAAAGTTATACACCATACACTCTATGAAACATTCTTCGCCTTCAATTGGAATAATAGGTCTATTTCTGCAGAAATCACAAACCAGTCAGAGCGAATTTCATTGGTTGAAAACAGTCAGAAACGGTCAGAAAACTAGTTTCAACCAATGAAATTCACTCTGACTGGTTTGTGATTCCTGCAGAAACAGATTTGATGTAACAGAGTGAAAGAGATCCCATACGCATCAACACTGAGAGAGATATGCATAGCGAGTCGAGAGATTCGGCGGTTAGATCTTGGTCTCCTATAAACCCTTGTCATCTCTCATTGTTTATTGTTATATCTTTAATTTAGAAGCAAAAAATATGTGGTTTGCACTGTAATCTAGACAATACAGAAGCGAAACTTTTATAAAGATTTTTTTTTTCATTTAAGTCTTCGTTTTCCGTTAAATGAAAGGTATATTTAAAAAAGATGATTTTTATCTAAATTTTTGCACGATTGAAACCGAGATATTTACGTTTAAAGTTTTTTTCGGCCATAAGAGCTAATGGTAATTATTGTTTTTGAAAGATTATAAAAAAATACTCTCTACAATGACCTTATTGTGCATTGGACCAATAATAATTGATGATAGTGCCCTTTTGCACACTCCAATTTTGTATTACCTCCGGAATAAGGGTTACTCTATCATGTACTTTCATCCCTCAAAAAATCAGCTTGTGACACCAAAGTGGGAGGCAAAGTCAAAATAAGTCTTGATCTACACCATACCATTATGAAAACCAAATGATTGTATGTTGTATTTCTGTTGTCTTCCCTATTAAATTCCAAAAGATCTGTAAGTGATACAAAGTGGTTGACAGCCTTCTAATTTTCTTGTAAAGTAGGATTTTCAAACCTGTCGTTAACGGCTCATAAAAGTGGTACAATAGGCTTACAATAGGTCAATAGTTTTCCATGTCCAACGAGTTTTTCATTATTCTGAGCAAACATGTACACTTGGCCAAACATAAAACTGGTACAGGCAATATATATTTTAAAAATTGCCTGGTGTGAGTCAGGCTTAACAACAAAAAGTCTGTTCTGAAAAATTTAGGTCCGACAGTTTTTGTCAACGTCAAACCTGTTTTTATGTTATGATTGGTTCAAATATGACACTGACTTGCACTTCCAGTGACTAGACGACCAAAGAAAAGCACCCAGGAACCCGGAGCTGAGTGGTTTGGAGAGGAACTACAGATGCTGCGACATGAGCTAAACACATTAAATGAAATGTGCTCAGAAACTGACTGTCCTGTGCTGCGGACAGAGAGAAACACACTGAGGAACAGGTACCGAAATGAAATAGAAAACTCAAAAAAACAAGCAAATTCAAATTATATCCGTAATTCTGATAACATTGCAAAAGCATCATGGAATCTAATAAAAAAATATATGCCAAACAGCACTTCTAAAGCAAATGCAAATATAGACCCAAATGAATGTAATGATTATTTTGCTGACATAGCTGAAAACCTCATTCATAATCTACCAGCAGTCGACACATCGCCAGTTCTGTATATGCAGAGCAGTAACCTAGGAGACCCAAACCTGCACTTTTCTTTCCACAGTGTAGTCCCACTCGAAGTTCTTCAAGCTCTTAATAATTAAAAAAAAAAAGCACAGCAAGGACTTCTATGACCTTAGTGTAGTGCTAATACAGGCACTTGGTGGGATTCTTTCTCTGTTATCCGCTTGCAAAAATTTTCAACAAATGTATCCAAGAAGGTGCTTACCCTGAAGAGCTCAAAATTAGTAAAACTGTGCCAATCTTCAAAAGTGGAGACAAAACATCACCATCAAATTACAGACCAATTTCTTTGATCCCCGTCTTCTCCAAGATCCTTGAGGTTCTCTTGAAGGACCAACTCTACATGTACTTTGAGGGAAACCACTTATTCATAGAAGAGCAGTTTGGGTTTAGAAGGGGCAGAACCACCACTGGGGCAATACTAAAGCTCTGTGATTTCATAGTTGAGGGCTTTGAGGAGGGGCAGATTGTGTCCACCACCTTCTGTGACCTCTCCAAAGCCTTCGACTGTGTATCACATGATATCCTTATAGAAAAATTAAAATACTACAGGCTCTGTGAATTCAGCGTGAATTTGATATTTGGGTACCTCTCGGGACGAAGGCAGATCACGGAGTTGGAGGGTAGGCGCTCAGAGGAGAGAGTCATGAGGCACGGTGTGGTTCAGGGATCGGTACTGGGCCCACTGTTGTTCCTTATATACATAAATGACCTTGCATCTGCCCTGTCCGGATGCCAGGTTGTTATCTACGCGGACGATAATGGACTCTCCATAAAAGCCAAAACACTGGATGCTGCCAAAATGGAGATGACGAGACATGTCGAAACTGCTGTTGACTGGTTCAACTCCAATCTTCTGAATGTCAACCAAAGTAAAACAGAAAACATAATCTTTTCTCTCAAGAAAACTACAATTCAAGACAACCCAGAAAAAATCAAATTTTTAGGAGTTACATTGGATGCGAAGCTGACTTTCGAGCAGCATGTCAACATTATTTCAAAAAAACTTTGCTCCGCAATCTATGTTCTTCGTAATATATCGAAAATTGTAGATAAAGAAACATCAAAAATGGCATATTATGGTCTATTTCATTCAGTGAGCGTCTATGGACTCCTAGCATGGGGACACTCATGTCATACCTCTCGCATCTTTGGCCTGCAGAGAAGAGCAGTTAGAATTGTAGCTGGCATCAAATACCGAGATGATGTCAAACCATCCTTTAGGGACCTAAAAATATTAACTCTTCCAGCACAATATATCCTAGAGTCTCTACTATATTTTCATAGTAACTCTTCAAACTACACTCGTGCCGAAGAGGTCCATAATTACAATACTCGCCAACGTTATAACGTGCAGATTGACTTTTCACGCTTAAAAACCTCCTTGAGCGCAACGCGATATTATGCACCGGCATTTTTCAACAAACTGCCTCATACGATACGAAACATTCCAATAAAGCCATTTAAAAATAAAATCAAGCAATTCTTGTTAAGTAAGTGCTTTTATTCAATAGAAGAATTTTTGCAATATCAGGTCACAGATTTGGATTTTTAACTTGTTTTGAATAGTCTTAACCGTTCATAGTTACTTAGTACTGTCCTTTTATAATGTTTAAAATTTTTTATACAGATGTGATATACCCATTAAGTGATATAGTATTTTATTAATTGTAATTGTAATTGATTGTAACCTAGTTTTAAGATTTTGATAACGCTATGAAACTCTGTTTTAAGTCTGAAATATATACAACTATACAACTATACAACTATTCAACAGTGGATACCCTATTACTTGAAAAGTACCCTTGACAAGTTTTACCCGAAGTACATCATCTGCAGTTGATTTATTTTTAAGGCTCATCACAATTTTTCTCAATTTTGAGATTGTTATACTTTCAAATCGGTTGACTGAAGTATCAGTCCACATTGTATCATTTTGATTATCGGTACATGCAGGTATACTGTTGGCAATGTCCTCAATACTTTTTTTGTAATAAACATTAGCTAAGTGCTCAAACCTCTCAAATCGGTTATCGAAGATTTTCATTTGAAACTTGGATCTTGGGTTTGCCCACTATTACACTATTACCATCATTTGGTGCAAACACTCGGCTTTTTTGCTTGTTTTCAACACTGTCCTGAGAGATTTAGGTTGTACTAGGGCAAAACTGTCTCAGACATTAGTAAGCATGTGGTAACTTTTCTTTTTCATAGTCCGAGCCTTCTTTGCAGCATCACTTGGTACGCTGTCAGCAATACATTTTGTGCAAACTCATGGTTCATCCATTTTATTATTTTATTATTTTCATAAGCTGCAAACTTCAAAGCAATTGATCCGGAGCAGATTTTGTGGTAATATATGGTCCACACACAATACTAAATTGAGGCACTGTAATATTGTGGGTACATTTTTGACAGACATAATTATGCCTTTTTCAGTGGAGTGGGACATTTGCTTCCAAGTCTATATATGATTACCAAAGTTTTTCTTTATTCCAGACTTGAGCAGAAAAGAAAATCTTCTTGGTTTTTGTGATCTCTATTCCTACGTAAATTTTCGTTTTTTGGGTCCTCTCGAAAAGTTCCACGAGTCCAACAACTTAAGTACTGTGTAATTTAATGTTTACTGATGCATGACCTCAAAGGCATTTTCCCAACAAAAGTAAATGAAAAGTCTTGTTTTATGAGTTTGCATTCCACTTTTACTACCCAGTACCTACTGTGTAATTCAAGCTTTCAATGTTTAAAAATTTGTATTTGTATCGGCAGGATGAATTATTGATTATGAAATAATTGATTAACTTAGTTACTAGATCATGCAAATCGATGATGAGAAGCTAAAAAAAAATCATTACCTCGCTTGTGATCTGACATAATTCAACTCAGCAGTGATACTCAACTCGGCCACTTTGGACATAACCTCATGAATCTCAGGAACTATTAATTTTCGTGATATAATAGCTTTCAACAAGCCAAACGCTGTTGCTTGTCTGTCGTGATCGTGCATATCTTGTTCTACGTACATTAATAATACTTTTAATTGGTTAGTGTCCACAGTGTAGTATTGGACGTCGCGTACTAGAACTGCCACAGCCTGAAACGATAACCAATACATTGAAAATGATTAAGAATTGCTGAATATTAGGTACCTTGAAAGCGGCTACCACTAAATCAAAATTGTCTCCTTTGCTTAGTCCAGAAGCAGCGAATTTATGTAATATAGAAAACATTTCTTTTGTGATTGGTTTAATACTTTGTTTCATTGAAGGTAACTCATATTTCATCACCCACTGCAGACATTGAAGAGTCAATGAGCACAACTAAAAATATATATGGGAATTAGAAAAAAAAAATGATCATACAAGTCTTAATAAATTGTTACCTTAACATGTTTGGATTTCAAACAATTCCTAAATATAGCCACAAACGGATCAATAAAAGGCCTATACTCTTTATTCTTGATCTTGTCTCGTTTTAACATTACAAAAAATAGCCTCAGACCAAACTCAACTAACAAATGTGCGTTAGTATCCGAAGATGTTTTTACATTCAATTCTCTATAAGCCGCCCTATTGCCAGGTATTTTTGGTATGATATAGCAATCTTCTCTTTCAATTTTTGTATCTTTATCATTTTTGTTTGGAATTTTCTTTTTAATAGGTAAAAGCGATGGTATTTTTTGTGCTGAAGTACCATAAGCAAATTTAAGTAATGACTCTACAGAAACAAATTCATTATCTACAAGACCTAAAGATATGTGTCTTAAAGCATCCTGAGCTTTATTGACCGTTTTAAAACTGTGGTTAGATTCTAAAAGTTTTTTCACAGGGAAAATCATGTCCATGAGGCATTTTTCGGTAATGTGTTGGGCGAGAATTTGTAGGGTGTCATAGCTTTTTGTTGATTTTGCTTCGGCGACTTTGGCAGTGATTTTCACTACTTCTCTTTCTTCTGATAAGATACCAAACAAATCTGCAGTACATAACTAGAAAAATATTTGTTAATATTATACAATATTTTTTTCATAACTTACATTCAAAACTGTCAGTAGAATCTCATCGATATCATGTGCCTGATAAGCTCCTTTCAAACAATTCAATACACCGTGTACTGTAAAAACCAATACATGTACTTGATACCCTCTGCTCATTAGGGGAGCAATTTCCCCTAAAAGTAACTTCAAATATTTAGGTCCCAAAGCAAGCATAATTTTTTGCAAAGTTTCTCTTGCTATCCTTCTTACGGAGTCTAAGTGAGATTTGAGGAAGGTGCATATTTTCAGGAAAACTCTAAAAATGAATTTATTATAAAATTAGTATAATGATAGTCACTTTCAATTGTATTGATTTCATAACAAAATATCATGCCAAACAAAAACAATAAATAGCAAATCTAATTAAAAATTCCATCGTCATCAAGCCAATGAACCCCCGTATTTGGATAAGATTGTAGGCGATGTTTGCATAGTATTTGTTGTGGGAGACAGGTAATCAATAATGCAATTTTTGTTTAAATTTAATAACTGTTTGCTATTGTTTAATCAATGGGGGTATAGCTCAGTGGTAGAGCATTCGACTGCAGATCGAGAGGTCCCCGGTTCAAATCCGGGTGCCCCCTATTTTTTTATCTTTTAGTCAAAGTTCCCTTGATATTTAGTCAGTACCTGGCAAAAGACTGAACCTAATGATACATTTTTTCTTAGAATGTCCAGGAGCACAAATCCAAATTTTAGACAATTTACCTGAAAGCCATTTGCCATCAGATTAGATACTTTTGTAACATTTTATAAAAAATACTTGTACCAATTTTTGACAATGTTTTCTGAATTATCCTCATCTAGCCCAAGTGGGACTATAGGCCAGGCAACATAGACCAAGTAAGGGGGTGTAGTCGAATTAATTCTTGGAAAGCTTGAAATGGTTTAATTTTTTCATTCACGTGTAAAAAGCGTTTTTCAAAGTTTTCACAAGTTTTCAGCTTGTGCTCTATACCCAATAACTCGGATATTTGCTGACTTTTCTCAGTTTTTACTAACAACTCTTAAACGATGCATTTCTAGGAAAGTTTTACTCTTCTATAAATTCAAGTACATAAAACTCCACATCGAATGAGTACCACATATTTGAAACTAAATCTAGTGGTATGGACAAAGTTTACAGCCTTTTTCCATTATGTAAAATGTTTCATAAACAATTATTCTGTATTTGAAGTTTATGTTGCACCGAATAGACCGATAAATATAGGTCGTATTTTTTCCCCCTCCCTTTTGATACCTACATCTTTTCGAGATATTCAAAAACCTTGACGCAACTAGATGGAATTGGTACTGCCAGTGAATGTTGTCCAGTAGTGTCGATGTTCTTTGCCAACCCAGTCTTTTATGTAGCTTTTCTTCTGGTCATACTTTTTGGTATCTCTAAACCAGGCTCTGGCCTGATAAGTTATGTCTTTGTAACCATGTTAATGAGAACGAGATGAGAATGTTTTTTAGAGTAAAAAATACCTATTTTATTGTGATTCTTACAAATACACAGTCACTTAGAAATAAAGGGGATGAGTTGCATATTCTCCTCGAAAGTCTTGGTTTTCTTGACATACTTTGTATAACGGAGCATTAGCTTAAGTCTGATGAGTTAATTACAATAATTGATAAATATAATGTTTCAAAATTTTCTAGAATTGGCTCTGCTCATAGAGGTACTATGGTGCTCAGAAATGAGACACTTAATGAGCTTTTCAAATGTTAGCAAGTTTTTTTATTAACTGCTGAATGGATATTTGAATGTTCTATTGTATATTGTTCTAAATACAGAATTTATGTTATATGCCTTTATGTTATATGTAATTTATCTGTTAATTGCTCAGTTATTCTTATTGGAGATTTAAATGTTGATTTTAATGGAGATTCCTGTGGTTGTGTTAGTAATTTGCTGTCATGTTTTAATCTTGAAATGCATGTCACAGAGCCTACTAGATTAACCAAGTATACCTCAACTATTTGGATTATATTTGTTCGAATATAATGTATATTTTTTGCAGTTTCCGGCATTCTGGAATTTCAGATCATGAAGCTGTTATGTCATATCAAGATTCAAATTCAACATAAAAACTCCAAATTCTTTCTCAAGAAAAGGCAGTAAAAAAAACTTTAGAAAATTTCGCTAGGAAAGCACAGGTTGATTGGAATTTCTCTCCCTCTGATAATCCTCTACTCTACAGCAGTTCCATTCTGCGTTGTCAAATGTTTTTAACAAAGCCTTTCCCATTGTTGGTATAAAAAATAAAACCATGGTTGACTAAAGCAATTAAAGTATCTCCACAAAATATGCGAGCCCTTCATTACATTAGAAAGTTTTTCATGGACAATCCATGTCTGTCTATCGACTATCGGAGTCAGCAAAGAAACTATACTATAGTCAATGTATTAGAAAATCAAGAAACACGTCAAAGGAAGCATGGTTGATTGTTAACAACCTTATAGACACTTGGATGCAATAAACTATTCATTTATTAATGGACAATTTTTAGATTTCCTTGAAAGGGCTGTTATCGTGCCATTACACAAAGGAGGAAATGGCTTCAGTCATTTAAATTTTAGACCAATTTCCTTGCTTCCGACTTTGTCCAGAATTATAGAGAAACTTGTAAAAAACAGTTGTTTTATTTTTATTGAAAAATAGGTTCTTGAATCCTGAACAGTTTGGCTTTCAAAATGACAAAAGCGCAACTGATGGCACTTTTTTCTTTCTTGGGTAAATTATATTATTATGTAACTCTTAATAATGGGGATATTGCTGGTGCAGTTTTCTGCGACCTGACCAAGGCTTTTGATTGTGTCAGTCACGGAATTCTACTACAAAAGATAGAAGTTTACGGGTTTCGAGATGTTGCCCTCATTGAGTGTTGTCCTTAACTGGTTCTGTCAGAAAAAACTCAGACTGGATGTCAGATATATCGGATGTATCTATGGTCAGATGTTTAGAACAACAATTGTGGTGTACCTCAGGGTTCTGTCCTGGGACCGGTCTAGTTCCTCCTGTATATTAATGATATCACCATTATAAATGTCAGGCTCATTCACTCTCTTTGCTGATGATACTGCCATTCTGTGGCGTGATTCGTACAGTTCCACAAATCCAAGAAATAAAGAAGTGATTTCACAGCAATCTCTTAACACTCAATGTTACTAAAACTAATATTCTAAACTTTCAAATGCGATTCACAGGAAATTCAAATTGAAACAATATAACTCAATCCCATGACATAATACTTACGTGAAATTTCTAGGGATACATGTTGATAATTCGCTCAACTTTAGTAGGTATAGTTTAACGAAGTCAATCCGAATAGCATAAAAACTGTGCGGCATCTTCTTAGTAAATTGAGCATATGCGTGCAACAGCCTAGGAATTAGAATTAAAATTAAAATTCTTCGTTCCTAGGAATTCCTAGGCTGTTGCACGCATATGCTTAATTTCATAAGAAGATGCCGCCTACACAGTTTTCATGCTATTTGGATTGACTTCCTATAAACTATAATCAAATTGAAAAACTGTCATCTGGCTGTTATGCCTTAAGAACCATGGCAAAAAACCTGAAATCACAGGCAGTTAAGATGGCTTACTATGCACTGATCGAGTCACATTTTCCATACAGAATTGCTTTCTGAGGAGGTTGCTCTGATTATATGTTTAATTCAGTATTTGTTTTTGCACTACACTTTATGTATGGTTTAACATATCATATACCGTGCATCTTGTAAACCCTCCTTCCTGAGGGAAGGGATACTGACATTGCAGTACATTGTATTTTGTTAAGCATAAAATTGCGCAATTTTATCATAATATAACCGGCCCTGTATCTCTTACGATTTCCGGGATTCCAATGGAGAGCATCGAATATGAATCACCCTGTAGAATGCCAAAAAGATATACAATCATTTGCCATGAAATACAGGATATAGATAATTTTAAAGGATTAATGGCCATTACCACCAACTATTTTAGGAGAGCCTTAACCATGAGTATGCCCTAAACTGACATTTCTCCATGGAAGATTGTCATTTTGAGGAATACTTATCGTTGAGGGTCCCCTAAAATAGGTGGTGGAAACCTTGTGAAAACGGCCATTAGAGACAAAATAAAAAAGTTCCTTTCTAGTCGGGCATCTCATAATGTGTCAGAATATTTTACTGACCAATTTTGAAGAAAGTATTTTTTTTTTTTTTCAAATTTTGCTGCACAAACATCAATGTCTCGTTGTTAATTGTAGTGTCCATGTCTGTGTTTCTATATACTTATACTTTAGTAGTTTATTGTATGTATTCTGTTTTTTGTATCATTTTGCTAATGCTATTTTATTAATTAGAGGGTAAGACTTGGCTTTGTCAGCTATCATTTTGGAAATTAATCATTTTTTGAATTGAAAATTTGTGGAATGGTCATTTGATGGACTCACTTCAATGGGGTTGGAAGATAACTATGCACGGGCTACTCAAATTAACATCAACAGCCGAACAAAACCTGCAGGAATTGCTCAATAACACTGTGTGTAAATGTTTGAAGGCGTGTCGAAATGCTTGTGGTTGCATGAAACAAAGAATTAAATTTATTTATTGCAAATAATACTTACACAAACTTCAAATAGTATGGGAGAGAAAAAGAAAGATAGAAATACATACAAATATGTATATACACCATTTTTAGCACTTCAATTTTAACCCTCTAGGCGGGGTGGGACCAAACCTTACTATTTTAAATGGAACAAGGGGTCGAGTGATACCTCTTTTAAAAGAGCATTCAATTCTCTTTCATTTTATGTGATTTGAAAGAAAATTGAACGGTCTTTTGAAACAGGTATCACTCGACCCTCTGTTCCATTTGGAATGGTAAGGGTTGGTCCTAGCCCCCCTAGAGGGTTAGGTTAGTGCTGAAAATGTTTCAAACACTCGCACAATCAAATTACGTATATGAGCGATTTAAAAAAAAATAAAATTGGCATCAGATATTCAGCCTGTTTCGTTTTAAATGGTATACCCTATATACAGTTTTACAGTGCCTTATATCTACCTACTCCTAACTCTTTGTTTAAGAACTTCAAAACTGTACATAAACAAATCGACACTTCCGAAGTTTGCATCATACTTCTTCATGACGCCTGTCGCAAAAACTCTGTGTACCATAATTAGTTCCACGATGAAGGACCTGTCTGGATCTTGTTGTTCTTTGCGGGATCTTCAGCAAGATTAAGGACAATCTTCTTCTTCTTCAGCCTTTAGACGTTCACTGCT